CCTGATGCAGAACAAAGGGCCGTGAAGCAAGGTCATCGGGTGAAACTGATAATACTTCCTCTCAAGTTTTAAAGCCCATTTTGTCCAGTTTTGTTTACAGTGTAGGTTTAGCTTACAATGGTTTGTATTATAATGATGTACGAGTTCAGCTGGAGACGTGGTTGCCGCACGTCGACTCAGTTTCTATAGAGATGTTTGCAAAAAGAAAAGAAAACAGAGACTGTTGCCCTGTTAGCCCTTCGACTTTGATGCATTTGGTCTTTCAAGACTTAAAAGGATCCGATAAAAATCATATAAATCATCTGTAATGAACTGAAGTCAGACCTTCCTACCAGAAAAAGAGGGGAAATATCAAACCACGGCAGGATTTTTCCTGGCTCACAACAGGGATTCACATAAGGAGAACTAATCATTAGTTTTTATATGCAGGAAAGCTTCTGCACAGTGACCAGTTAGAGGCAGATGCTGGCGGTCAGTTTTAAGTTAAAGACCCCCGAGCACAACTATGTGGTGGGACCAGAACAACTTGGTTTGATTCAGCTAATCTCATCAATAACACAGTCAGATCTACTGTTCACGGATTAATGTTGAAAGAGTAATAAAGTATAGAGCTCAGAGAGCTTCTCGGGTAAAATACTCTTGCCCAATTAGAAAAGGAACTTTCTTTGTTGAACAAAAAATAAATAATAATGCAGGTAAAATATTCTCTCGATATTCACTGCTTTGGTCGAGAGCTGCAGCAACCCCTGCACTGGTCAGGGCAGCCTGGCTCCTTCATTTAGATTGGACCAAAGTTTCACGTCATAAATTCACTGCATTGCTAGTTTTTCCATTTTCCTCCATCACTTCTTTTTCATTCGTTTTTGTAGTACTGTATCATTTAGCCAGCTGACTCTGAGAGTTACTACTAGCCTCACCAGTGTGTATGATGAACTACTGTGTTCTACCAATTATATCATTTAAATAGATCTGCGTTTTGGTAATACAGTATATAGATTGAGGAAACATTTAAACAAATACAGTTATATTGTTTTTTTTTCATTTGCCCGTTGGATGGGCTCCTAACTGTACATGGGCACGAACCCAGAATGGAGTGGAACAAAGCCTAGGTTTAGCTCATCTGGCCAAAGGATATCTCAGTCTCCTGTGCTTCTTTTTTGGGCCTTTATTTATTCATTTATTCATTTATTTTCGAGTGGAAGGCCAAAACTTTTAGAGGGGGCTTCTAAATCTTTTTGAAAAACCCCGATCTGTTAAGGTTGTTCGGGGTGTGATCACATCCAGCCTTAGCTTAAACTGCCTGCCTGTTTTATGTTTTTTTTGCTTGCATCACAAAGAAGAAAAGTAACTGTGAGCATCCCCAACGGCTAGTTAATATCTTATAAATATACATACATGTTCCAAATTCTGGAGTATGGTATTTGATTTTATTTAATGATTGATTCATAAGATGTAGTTAATCTTTTGCAGCATTGTAAGGTAGTACAGAAAATGATAGTGACCTGCAATTTAGTGTCAGAGTACACTTGAGTAAGGCAAATGGTTGCCAACAAAACATGAGCCTGTTTAGGAGGAAGATCCTGTCCTCACCATGACTCCCTGGTTCTCAGAGACAAAGTGTCAGGTACAACTGATCTGTTTAGCAAAGTTGTTATCTGGCATTAAATGACTGAACAGGACGGAGTTGGTGCTGAACGGTTTTAACTGTTTTGCACATTACTTGATTCAGATGAAAAGTGGCAGCGCTAATAAAAAGTCCCTGTTTTTGTGCTAACACATGGGATTCAGTGTGGTAACGTGAACACAGTTTGGTGAGGCGTCAAAGCTTTTTTAAAAGAAGTCAAATGTAATAACTATATTTAGTTTAAAAAGCAGGATTTGTGGTTGAAGTAGTCCAGTGTTCTCCCAAACTCTCAAAACGTCTATAAAAAGCATCACTTTTCCTGCTGTGGTATATCACAGTATTTTCTGTGAAAAAAACAAAACAATATTTATCTGACAGCGATCTGAGATATAAATACTGAGTCGTACCCAGCCTCTGAAAATGTAAATGTCTTTGAAGCTACTGAACCCACTGCTGTCTCTGTGTAAAACTCTGTGGGTGACATTTGTAAAAATCAGGTTTATCTTGCAGGTAGGATCTAATAATGAGTCTGATGAAAAGCATCATGTTCATCATCAAGGCTGAGTGTTATTCATAGCAACCTAAATCCAATTATCATGATCATACTCAAAAAGTCATTCAGACTAAGTTTTTATTGAGTTTTTGGCCACCTGCTGAATGTAAGTTGAATACTTTCTATCAGTTCTTGCGATGTCTGCCTGCTGTTCGCTGCTTGGTATGCCCAGTGGGTTTGAGCAGTTTGGGTTTTCTTTTCAGTGCTATTAGTTGTAAAAGTAAAAAAAGAAGACAAAATACAAGTGTGAACATCAAAACCGCTGAACTGAGATCTTTTTGGAAATCGATGCTACCTAAAAGATCAGATGCGCCAGCAGGACATCGACTTACCCAACTTACCATTCTGACATAGCAGTAAAAACAGAGGCGTTGAGACATTAAAATCTTATACAATGAGTAGAAGTTTCTGCTTGCTCTTTTCTAAGCTGCTTATTTTTGCAAAATAAATGAAATCTGAGATCTGAGTGCTTTTCAAAAGTACCGTACTTGCATCACAACATTAATGAGAGGATGGGGCAAAACATGCATTTTAAACACATTAACCAAATAAAGATCCAAAGATTGGATCAGCTTAAGATCTCTTAAAGCTGAAGCCAAATAATCTGTAAATTAATCTTATGTAATTATGTCTTTCAGAAGAAACTACCAGTAGCGCCTGATGACGTAGGGATTGACTAATTGTCCAGTTAATTCCAATGGCTAAGAGATGCATAGCTGCAAGATTAACTCATGTTTTTCCTTTTACATCAAAGCATTTATCCCAGGTTAGAGTCGCATGATTCATTATTACCAACAGCAAGGTCAGATTTTTCCTCAGGTCCTTTATCTATTGTCAAAAAGCTTCTACAGCTTTAGTTTTGTCTCTTTTTTAATAATAGTAATAATTTCTGTTATTGTTGAAGTATGTTTGCATAGCAGAGACCTTCTATTGTACCCTTAGAGCAGTAATCACACTGCCCCTGCAGTTCCCAAACTAAAGGGCAGTAGGTGACCATCGTAAAAATTTGTGTCTTGTGATGGGTACGAGAAGCCGACCATGGGACTGCTGGAAGACCGGAGTTCTTCGGTTCTTTGGGGGGATGGGGTGAATCGTAAAAGTCATATCTAAAAAGGAGAGGCATCTGCCCCCCATCTGTTTCCCCTCTCCACCTTCAGGGTGCTGCTGTAGCCAGGAATAACTCCATGTGGCCAAAGCACATGCTGAGCCTGATTTATGTCCACAGGCATAAGTTGAATAGGCACCGTGGGTTGTGGGTAGTGACGCAAGCTGCAGCAGAAAAAATGGATCAGCAGTTTAATTTTTCATCACAGCAAAAGAAAAAGAAATTTAAAAAATGAAGTATTTGCTTAAGTATCTGTTTGTTTCTCCCCTTCTTTTCCGTGTACCTCGTGTTCTTTTTTACCTTAACATCTGACTGATAAACACGAAGAAGAGAGGAGTAAAGCAGGTCAGATTGTGATGTTCTAGTCCAAGAACTCACCGTTCCTTTTCTGGGTCCCCTCATTTTTATCTCTAAAGTCAGATGTGCTAAATCATCTGCAGGCGTCTGTGCTACATCCTATCAGATTAACTCACAGAAGCATGATTAAATACAACAAGATTAAATGGTCTCTGCTTGTCTGAAATTGTAGTTTCCTTTAGCCAGTGGATGTCTTGTGCTGCAAACAAATTGGTGTACAGATATAGTTCAGTACTGAGCGTCTACACACCGATAGTGATACTGCTTTCGCTTCTCAGAACCTGCACTTCCAAGAGTCCACAGCCTGAATGATTAGCTGATTTTGTTCTTGTCATAAATTTGTCATCACTATTGTGATTTATCATCACTATTATCATAAAAAAACTGATGAGGTTCTGTTTTCTCACCGACTTAGCTGTCAGGCAGATAGCGTCGTCTTGTTAAGTGTGATGAGTTGGCCTTTTATACATGTCAAAGTCAGTTTAAGTGTTGGCGAGCGTTGCTGCAAATGTGAACAGTGTTTGTATAAAGTTGCACAGAGTCTGATGAGCTATTATAAGTGTCGTTGCTTTGCCTCACTGGTTAAATACTTAAAAATTAGAAATCTAAGTGTGGAGTTGGAAAGAAGTAGCATTACCATATCCTTTTTTCTTGCTTGTAATCTCTGCTCAACTGTAGAAGATTATTGAGGCCATATAAACTGCTAATAAGGCTCAATAAACAAAAAAGACAGATTATGGTTAATATAGGCACCAATTTTGACAAGAAAAGGACTGAAGAGCTTGTAAAGCCCTATATAAATCTAAATTCTGAGTATTAGAACCTGTAGACAAATTGCATATTGTTACGCAAATATTATAAACGTCAGTCTAGCTTTTACTTTTGTAATCACAGCTTGTTGGAAGTCGTTATTCCTCCAGCTTCATTTCCTTTCTTGGAGTACCATGTCCTTCAGGCGTAACTACGAATATTTCTTTATTATATATTCTTAAAGTGTGTGTTTGTAGTTGTAGAGTCTTGACAGAACATGTCGCTGTGTTTGGGTGTGCAGACTAGAGGATTATGAACGCGTTCTTAACACACATTACCAACAGTTCGTTTGACATGCCCTTCCATGCATCTGTCAGTAGGTTTATACTGGGTTGATACCTCTGCTTTCTGACCTCAAAGTAAGCAGAAGTTTCTAAGCAACAGCGCAGAGCAACACATACCCTAACAGGCAGCGCTTCGTGGTTTGTGTATGATGCTTGTTGCTTCTCGCCAAACTATTTGGCTTTTCAAAACAAAGTTGGAGAGCCTCCTCTAGTTTCTGTTTGGCTTTAGTCATCAGTTTCTGTTTTTTCCCCCCTCTCTCCCTGCAGGGCGGCAACAACGCAGGACACACAGTGGTGGTCGACTCAGTCGAGTACGACTTTCACCTCCTACCCAGCGGCATCATCAACCCCAAGGTCACCGCTTTCATTGGTGTGTATCGCATGCAGAAATACACTTACATTGCTGCACGATACACACACAGTTCCTCGCTATTTTCTTCTTGAACTGATCGCGATCCCTTTTAGTTGGCTGTTCGTCATCGCTCATATAGCCTCCATCCTGACGACTCTTACAGCGAGTGCGATCGGCTTGACTCAGAGCCAGACTGCAGGCTACATCGTATCCACCCATCTGCAGTAATTTCATTAGCTAATGGATCCAACTTTTCCTTTAAGGCTTCCAGTCCCTGTACACATCTGCAGTTGACCACGTACAGTCTATCAATACTTAATACTGTTTCTGCTTTGTTTTTGCTTACGACTGTGGCACTCATGTGTAGAGGCTTATTTCTGTTTGTTGTGACATAACTTTGCCTCCTGTGTAGATTTTGAGAACGTCTCATTTAGTGAGCACATTCATTCTGACAGTGTCATTAAAATAGCTTTTTTTTAATGCTTTTATAGCTAATTTCCTTGTTTCCTATATTTAATTTGGTTAAAGTAATTACCTCATTGCCTCCACGTAATGAAGCTCCAGTTAAAAGCTAATTAGAGCCAGCTGTTTGAATACTCCAGTGAGTAAAGAAAGCTCTGCTCTGTCTCTTGGCATTACATTCAGGCACACCTAAGACTGCTTTCACAATGACGGGCGCTGACTTTGGTTTAGATGCAACTTACACACAGTCGAATGAAGCGACTCTGCCCACAAATGGGAACGATAAGCTTATCTTCCAACTAAGTTAAAACATTTCCAGATGCAGGCTATCCTGTTTGGCCAGTTCCGCATTCAGGTTTGCTTCCACTGTGGTCTGAACAGCAGACAGTATAGAACAAACAACAGACAAAGCAAATTTAGCATCACCTATTTGTATTTTGAACCATGATGCGATGAGTAATGGGTAGATCTGACTGAAACGAACACTGGTTGGTGCTCATGTAACAACTGTAACTGTACAAAAGTCTTGATTAGCCAGGATGAGTGTGTTCAAGGTCACAGAAACTTTGGATGCGACTATTCGCTGGAAACAAAAACACTTATCTGTGAAAGTAACTGTCAGCTCTGGCCAGAAATGAGAGGCTGGTATCTAAACGCTTTGTGCCCTGGTCAGAGGAGAGATTTAAGATTCAGTAACACATCTGTTAGTGTCTGGGTTTCAGAGGTCACACTCTCTCCCCTCATTTGCCCTTAATTTTCACTCTCTCAGAGCACAAAGCTGCTTGATAGAGGCTGACTGCACAGTAACACCAGCAGCTTTGTTTTTACATCAGGCAATGGTGTGGTGATCCATCTTCCAGGCCTGTTCGAAGAAGCAGAAAAAAATGAACGCAAAGGAAAAAGTGAGTGCTGTACTTACTTATTTTTTCTTTTTCTGAGCAAAACATGGTGTTAGTTATCTGTGTGGAACTCACAGCATATATGCGTGTGTAGGTCTAAAAGGCTGGGAGAAACGGTTGATCATCTCGGACAGAGCACACATTGGTAAGTCCTCACAGATCTGCCCCTGCACTCGTTTACTTTAGAGAGTGTGCGACAGTTTGAATGCATGCAAGAAGAAGTGTGTGTGTGTGCGCGTGTATGTGTGTGTGAATGCGGGAGCTCTGCTTTCTTTGAGGTGTGTGAGTGTGTGTGTGTCCTCTCTCCCTCCTTCGCAGTGTTTGACTTCCACCAAGCAGTTGATGGCGTTCAGGAACAGCAGAGACAAGAGCAAGCAGGCCAGAAGTAAGAAACCTGTTGCTTACAAACGGCTGCAATGTACACACAGCGTGCACACACTTTAAGTTTCAGGTACTCCGTATATTAGCAAACACAGCTTCAAACACTAAAGTTAGTCGTTGATTGAATAAATGCCACTCCTTGTGTTCCATATCTTGGATTGCGTTCTGTTTTCGGTATTCATCTTTGCACTGAGTCATGCTTTTCTTTCTTTTTGTCATGTGAATCTTAGTCAGGCCTCTGGACAGTTTTGCAGTTTGCTGTCACAGGGTCAGGGTACTATTCCACATGTTACACACTAACAGCTGCCAGCTGTAGCTGCTAGTGGTGCACCGGATCACGGTTGAGCCGAAATCCGAACCGATCCCGCTCCACGGTTCGGTATGCACGTGATCCGAAGATTCGAGAAAGGAAAAAAAAGTATGTGTATGGTGCGCGTGGTGGGTCTGTCAAGCGGTGGTTATGGCCAGCGCTAGCGGTCCAAGTGGCGGAGCAGAGGAGTTTGCGGCATTTAAGCAGCTCTTTGCTGCTCAATCCAACCGGGCTAAAGATATTACAAAAGCTACTGGGGTGTTTAGCTGCAGACGGGAGGCCGTATTCCGTTGTGCAAAACAAGGGGTTTAAACTGTGATAAACGTGCTTGAGCCAGGCTATGATATCCCGTTGCGCGTCCACTTCAGTGACAAGATCGTTCCAAGCAAGTATGCGCAGGAGAAGTTTAAAGTTATGGCTGAACTGTCCCAGGCATCTTCTGTTGCCCTAACTACAAATGGGTGGACCTCCAGGTCAACGGAAAGCCACGTGACCGTGACCGTGACTGTGACCGCTCGTTATATCACAGTAGAGTGGTAGATACAAAGCCCTGTACTGCCCTATAGATCACATTAGATTAGAAATTCAGTTTCTAGTAGCACAGCACCGACAGAAGTTGCAGAATGTGAGCAGAAATATACCATATATACACAAATATAAATACAGAGTATACAAAAGGGATAAATAGAATAATTAGGAATAAGAATACAAGGAATGGCACATTTCAAGTATTGTGAGTCTATTACACCGTTGGATACTAACAAACTATTGCACAGTGAAAAGGCACTACAGCTTACTTGTTCCCCCTCCTTTGTCCCCGTTTCCCCTCCCTCTCCCCTCCAGCGAGGAGTTAAACAGTTTGATGGCGTGTGGGACAAAGGACTTTTTAAGTCTGCTGGTCCTTGACTTTGGGAGAAGCAACCTGTCACTGAACAGACTCCTGGTTGTTTATGGCCGTATGCAGAGGATGCCCAGCATGGTCCATAATGTCCATATTGCACCTTAATTTGTTTTTATATAAGTGCGTGGAATGAGTCTTCAGTTGAATGTTTTTTAATAGGCAAAAAATACTTAAATAAGTAAATGGCGAGTCTAATTTTTGTCTTTCTTTTCTATTTTTGCTGATCCGAAAATTGATCCGATCCGAACCGTGAGATTTTTGATCCGTTGCACCATTAGTAGCTGCTGGATGCGGTTAACAACAGTATGACTGTAAATCCAGGTAGAAGAATGTTACGGCAGCTTTGAACACGATTTCTTCTATAAACATCTTGGTCTCCTTTCTAGAAATAAACACGACATTGATCCTCACATACAAACTTGAAGCACTGACATTTTTTGTAATAACACCTAAAACTGCTCCCACCCTCGGCTTTGCAGAGCATCGTGGTGACTCTCGGCTCCATGCACACCTTTCATTTTCTGTGTTCTCATAGTGTAATTTTACACAAGGATCTCTGAACATCCACTCTGTGCACTCATCGCTAAACAGCTGAAAGGCAAAGAGACTAGATGGTGAACATCGTGGAGGATTTAGCAGCCAAAATGCCAGATATTTCCACGAGGAGTTAAAAGCGGATTATTGGACTTAATGTCATCCTGTTGCTGCTCGATGTGTAAATATTCAGCTGTTAAACAAAACAGCTTAAAACATAATATGTTAATGTTGTTTGTAGTCCGTCGGGAGGTTTAAACTGGGTAATTGCTGCCAAAGAGTGTTATAGTACTTTGGAAGATAAACCTCATTCACACAGAACTAGAGACCGGTCGACAACGTCCTCTGGCAAATTGCAGCCGCTAGGGAAAAATTTTCATCGACAACTCGGTCGATCACATCTGCTTTTGTGTGATTTGGTTGCAGAGAAGGAACACACAAAAATCGCCTTGTGATTGCTTTATTCTCCCTGCAGATGCAGTTTTCATTTTAATCTAATTTAATTTAATTTAATTTCTGGCTTGCAGTGAAACTTGAAAAAGTTCTGAGCAACACTGAAATGTTGACCAGCCACCTTGAAAGTCAAAAGTTTGCCACACTTCTCATCTTAAAAGGTCTAACTTTTTGAAGGTGAATGTTTGTGTTGAGCTTTTTCACACTTTCCACACTGTTTGGTGAGTAGTTAGTGTTTCCGGTCAAGTTGACATCTTCCATACAAACTACTGGTGTCTGTAGCAACCTGCCCGTGACCATCAGCAACCTCCAGCAACCACTCGTTGGCTTGCTAATCTCAGAATACACATTTTCCTCTAGACCGGTGGTTACCAGGAGGTCACTAACCGGTCTCTAGGCCTGCATGAATGGAGTTTAGCAGTCGATTTCACAGCAGCTGCCAGCAGCCTGTTGGGGAATGCATGGTTTTCATTTGTGACCGGAGACCACCAGATGATTTCCCACAGGTCTCTAGGCTTGTGCAGGTGAAGCCTTAATAAAAGCATTTTTAATATTTCTTGCTGATGGTTTCAATAATAGGTTTACCTGCCATCAGACAGAGTAAGAGGGCCTTTGCACTCTACTATTAATTTAATCCTCACAACAAATGGGAGTCTGTCTAGTCTAGTGTGGTTAGTTTGTGTCATTGTGTGACTTTGGCAATTTCATGGGTCAGTACAGACCGAAAGTAGTTTGTTAAATTGTAAAAGTCTCAGAAAATAAACCAGGATTTATTTGCATGAACAAATCTACAGACTCTTCTGTGTGCTCCCTCACCTGCACAGTTAATTTATTTTGTATGAATACCTTCAAAACTTTGAGTTATTTTCCAATTTTGGGGACAGAATTAGCTAGATCCTGTAAAATGTAACAGAACTATATTCATATATACAATACTGTTTTATTCTGTATCTGAAACCATATGGATACATATCACAGAGCCCATTATATTATATATAGTAACTTAAAAAGATATAGCATTTTCTCCTTTACTTATTCACACATAGGCTTATCTTTACTTTGCATGTGTGCACGAACGTCTCTCCACAGTGACACTGTGCATGTAACCTACGCTTTCCTCTGCCTGGAGGCGTCCTCGGAGAAGTCGGAGGGCAGGCAGAGAGTAGCAGCCCTGCAGCAGGTGTCGTTTCTGTAGCGCGAGACAGAGTAGCACAGCTTCAACAAGTGACTAAGTAAAGCAGCAGGCTCCTGCTGACGGTCTGACTTCTAAACTCTCCACAAGGACACAAGCAATAAAATAGGTAGTAAAACGAGATATTCAATCATCTAATTCAGTACTCGCCCGGGCACTGCGTCATACTGATATGTGTGAGGAATGTTATGCTAAGCCTGAGGAACATTCAGAATGCTAATCTAAATTCAGACCCAGCATACTCCTGTTAAAAGCAGCCACGGTCCCAAACTCACAGCCGGCTCACGTGTTTCTGAGAGCGACAGAGTGCATGTGCTTTAATGGCCGAGTCATTATAAGCTTTCAGCAGATTGCGATGTCAGGCTGGTGGATTTCCAGCATCTGCAGGCACGCTGTAGTGTAAGGTCTGCTGAAAGTCAGAGCAGAATACGATCACAGAACCAGGCAACACAATTCAGAGTGCTGGAATATCACAGCAGCCGGTGTTATACTGCTGATCTAACCTCACACATTTAAGTTAGTAACTCTCAATTCCATGTTATAATCAAGATTCATAATCAAGATTATTCTACCATAAAATTAAGTGTCTGTAAAACAGTTCAAGGCTGGGATCTCTGTGCGACTGTCATAAATTTCATCTCTGACAAATTTACCAGCATTGCAAGTAAAAAACAAACAAAAACTTTAATATATAAATTAATATTTAAAGTTTTCTACAAATATTTGAAAAAAGATGATGCGTCACTCATTCCCAGCTTTGCACTGCTGTAAGATCACTCATTTGCCAGTGAAATGGACATTAAGTTGCACACATTTAATTTTCCACTTGTCTAATATTTCTTTTTAAATTTTGTTGCCTCACTTTAAATATAAAGTCTACTATTCCGTACTGTATTCAAACTTTGGGGGTAAAGCTCAAATTGAATCCAATTTAATTCCACTGAAATATCATGCTTTATATTGCACAGTTTCTTTTATCACAGCTATTGTAGATTGGGCTCCCCTTTGCCGTCAGAAGTGACTTAATTGTTGTCGCACAGATTCCACAAGGAACTAGAAACACTCCTGCTGCTCTGTTTGAACTTCAGCAGGACATCTTGACCATGTCTGCTTGCTGAATTGCACCGAGTTGCTGCCATATAATTGGCTGATTAGATATTTGCATCAGTGAGCGGTTGAACAGAAGTACATAACAGAACAGCCAGTGAGTGTAGTGTTTCTGAGTTTGTTCCCAGTTGTACTTAAGAGTTCATCCCTTTTCAAACATCTCTGACAGTTGTATTTAAATAAGTGTTATTAAGATGCCAAATGATGCAATATTTCAGATAAAGCAAAAATGTGTTTAAAAATAAATCAAAGGTTTGTACGACTGGACTTTCCTTCTTACTTTCTTACTTCTCTGGCAGAAACAGCTGACTTTTCACTCATGCACATTGGCACATATGGTTACTGGATACTACATGAGTTATATTGGCTGCACTGATGATGAAGCGCAATAACTGTAGGGCATATTTATCTATTTCTGTTCTGTAGTTGCATGTAGGGTGCAAATATTCTGCTGTGCCAAGACTTCCTTTTAATAGGGCGTCTTATTAGAGGTACATGATGACATGGTAAGCTTTTGTATGTAGATGTGTATTTAGGTGGGCATGCTGTCTCTGTAGTAATTCTGTGGTGATAGCACGTCAGACTGTAATACTCTAGTATGAGAAGATGCTTTCTGTCTGAGTTTATAATATTTTGGAGTCTGTAGAGAAGAAGCAAATGGCTCAGTGACAGTTAAACATCTGCATTTTGTCATTTTTCAGAGAATAAAAGTTTCCACATCACGAGTTCGGACTTGCTAGTCTGTGACTATAACTTGAACCCGTTTTAGTGATATTAAATGAGAGGTGGCAGGTCAAATGTTTTTTATGTTGTATTGTTTTAGGAACAGCGTAATGAACTTTTGTTCTTGTGAGAACCACTGAGCTGCTCCTTTTTCATTTGTGTGCAACTGTGCATAGCATGAAATGATTTTACAGTTTCAGAGTTCATGTTGCGGAGCAAGACTGCATGTAAATGCTGTTTTTCTTTTCTTTGTGTTTCCTTCCCTCCTCTCTTGGCCTTGCTCAGCCTCGGGACGACAAAGAAGGGGATTGGTCCGGTGTACTCGGCTAAGGCGGCACGCTCCGGGCTCAGGATATGTGACTTGCTGGCAGACTTCACACAGTTCTCTGAAAGGTCAGTCTCACCAACAACATTATATATGTCACATCTACCTTTCAGAATACAGGTTTGGACACTGGAAAGGCCCACAGTCTATAAACACTCAACATGCAGTTCTCGTTCACCCTGATCACTTTTGCATATCAGCAGCAGGAGTCTGGTTGTCTGGTAACTGTTGCTGTTGTGCCAGTATCACAAAAAAAGCTTTAGACCATAGTTTAGACCATAAATGATATAAAACTTGGATGGAACCACCACGTTACCCATTGGTTAGTAAAATAGTGTTTCCACCATCGCCATCTAGTGTTTTGAAACAGCATGTGACCAACCAGTGGGTGAATCTGGCCGTGAAAGTGCAAGCCTGTGAAAGTTGCCAGCTAATGAGCCTACCCTGGAGAATCCTCCTGACTTCTACTTTCCAAAATGAACTCCAGGTTTTATTCAGTGTAATCTTATACTAGTGATCGAATCCATAAAGTTATCAGGAAAGCGTTCACAGAGCTCACAGAGGAAGGCAGCTAAGGGTCACTTCCCCACAGACATCCACCAGTGGATTTGCCCCATTAATAAGTAAATGTAAATGAGACATTGAGTCTCAACGCGACTGTCTCTGTAAGTAAGGGTTAAATAAAATATCTTATCTTTACTTTTCAGAAGCTGAAGTTGGTGTGAAGCTGGTTGTTTAGTTTAGTTTCAGGTGGACTGGTTTGCAATTTAAATATGTTGCATTAATAAACAACTGTAGAAGTGAAACAAAAATAAAGTTGAACTGTTTAAACACATTTCATTTCTGCAGTCACCGCTCAGCCTACCCTGACAGCGACACTGTCACTATGCAAAGGTTTAAGATTACTAATTAATTAAAGGCTGAGTAGTATTTTATATCTTTTGAACCACCGAGCTCAGAAATTTTAACTGGCTGACGAGCCTTTTTTCGGTGCCATAAACTCAGGAACTTTTACTGGAAGCAGATCTAAGCAGGTGTTCAGATGAAATCCAGCTCTGTAAGTTGCTTCACTTACTCAGAGTTGAAATTCAAGACGGTTCAGCTGTTATGGTCATCTCAAGGTGGTTTTGAATACTTACAGGGAGAATTTTACAACTTGAAAAAAAAAGTGATTAATTAAAATAAAGTTTCTAACCAGTTGCTACCTGCTGTAGTAACTCATTGTGATTAAGGAAGCAACCCCAAAGTATTCACACAGACCAACAGAAATCTGCTAGTGTTATTTAACTATAATCATTATTCAAGTGAAAAGCATAAGTGGACATGTCACAGTATGGGAGGGGAGTTTTATGGAGGGTAATGTAAAAGGAAAATAAGAAATATAAAAAAATATCTTTATCTCATATGGATTCTTTTAATAATCATTGGAGGTAGAAAAATATGAGTTTGATTGCACAGGCCTAGTAGGTAACACCATGATAGACATTTGAATTTCTATGCTAAACCCTTCTACTTTCACTGACCTCCTTCAAAGGGTTGATCTCTTTCTGAATGTGGCCATTCCTGGTTGTTCCTACTTCCCCACCAGAAAAGGAGGGGGGAAATAGTCCAACCGATAGTTATTTTCTGTGCTGCTATTTTTCATTTGTGTTAAAATGCAAACAAAAATAAAAAGTGTGACCAAGGTGCATGAATGATTGAAATAAATCAGAATCATTCTTTGTTGCAGGTATAAAGCTTTGGCCCAGCAGTACCAGTCTATGTACCCCACTCTAAAGATCGACATAGACGGAGAGCTGCTCAAGTTAAAGGTAATAAAACTAAAAGGAAATCTGAAAACATTTAGCTGTGCTCTTTGCAGATCTCCCTGTATTTTATTTATTATTTATGTTGAGGTTTTTTGCGAGTTTTTTTTATTTTTTATTTTAGGACTTTGTTGAGCAGATCAAGCCCATGGTAAGAGATGGTGTGCACTACATGTACGAGGCACTTCATGGTCCTCCTAAGAAAATCCTGGTGGAAGGAGCCAATGCAGCGCTGCTGGACATCGACTTTGGTCAGTAAATCAGTGTTTACTTCACTTCTTTGTTTCTTTGTGCTAACCTGTAGTGTCAGTATAAATCTTGTTTCTGATTGCAAAGTGCTGTTTAGTGCACCCACGGTGAGCTGATGACGTTGTCCAAGAAACACTTAAAGCTTTGCGATGCTCTTTGCAAAAGCCTGCATGGAGCTCAGGGTAGGGACGACGGTAAGTTTAAGCGTTATTATTGCGCTTTGTGCATCTGGGCTTGGCGTGCGCAATCACAAGTTCAAACCACTCACCTGTGCATGAGCACGGAGGCACCCTGAGTCTATCGGTCAGTTGATCAGAATTATAGGGCCTCTTTAACTGTTCTCATAAGACTTTAAAGTATGACAATTTGATTGTTCCTTTCATTAAATGATACGGTAGACTTAACCATAATATCTCTCTGTAAGAGCACAAACCTGTCATTGAGAGCAGATTAAATTACAGTCAAAGTTCAACATGATCCAGAGACGATGCCTGTAGTTTCTGTGGTGTCAGAGCGAAACACATCCCCTCTTTCTGACAGGCTGGATCTACACATGATCAGAACATGTCACATGGGAGCATGCAGGGTGTTGGCGTTTACATAAAGAGCACTTTGACAGGACACGCTTGATGGTTTAGACACCAAAACTGCTGTTTGATTACACAACAGTCTCTCCTCACAATGGGTTTACCTCCATGTCAGCAGCCTCCAGCAACTGGTTTTGTGATCTCAGCACTTGTTTGCTTTTAAAAATTTCCAAGCATGTCATTTTTCTGATTGATTGTTCTGTTTGTGTCGGTCTGTCTGTATGTTTCCTAAGGTGCAACCGCAGGTCTAATCAGACAACAGGACAGACTAGGAAAATTACTTTAAATTTAACTGAGTGTCACGTAGAAGCTATCTGGTTTCTAGTCCAGTCACAGCTTGTTTTGCAGGTTTTGTCACAAATCTTTGGACAAATATGAAAGCCTTTGTACAAATCAGGACACTTGCTAAAACAAGCCTGCGATGACATCACCTTTTCAGAGCTCACACCAGTAAAGGAGATGTGACATGAGAAAGTATGACCCGACTTCACCTCTGGTGTCGTTGCAGGAACGTACCCGTTTGTGACGTCGTCCAACTGCACGGTGGGCGGGGTGTGCACGGGCCTCGGGATGCCGCCTCAGAACGTCGGCGAGGTTTATGGGGTCGTCAAGGCGTACACCACAAGAGTGGGCATCGGTGCTTTCCCCTCAGAGCAGAAGAATGTACGAGCACACACCGATACGAAATATAAACACGATAAAAGTTTGGTTCAGATCGGGTTTTATTTTTAATAAGCACGACTTCATATTTCACATGGAGAATTAAAAGCTGCACGTTACATACACATTAACTGTTTCGTACATACAGTATCTACTGTGTCTGCATGGTTAAAACATGGCCTAATCACTTAACTTGTCTGCGTGAAATATGAGTAGATTTTCAAATAGCACCACCTGGAGGAGTTTTGCCACACTGCCAGCAGTAAACCAGCTGTAGCTTAGAATTCGTTTCAAAGATTTAGAGACAAATTTAGAGCATTTTTGTTTTCTGCGATTGCAAACATTTACAGAAAACCTACATAAGAACTGATGTTCAAGTTTAGACTCTTGTTTTCATTAGGAGATCGGAGACCTGCTGCAGACTCGAGGGAAGGAGGTCGGCGTGACCACAGGCAGAAAACGACGGTGCGGTTGGCTGGATCTGGTGCTCATCAAATATGCACATATGATTAATGGCTTCACTGCGTGAGTTTTAAATCATTTTTTTGTATATTTTAAGAGAAAAGAAAGTATTTTAGAGTAGTCACAACTCCAGTTAGGATGCTTGGGCACCTTAGGGCACAGTCGCAACACTTTGGCGAGATTATGTCACTAAGTTGGTTTTGTGTCCCTACAGAAGGAAGTTTCTGTATCTTTGATTATTGTATCTAAACACTTCAGGACATCATGTAACCTGTTTATATGTTATATGAAGTATTTAGAGGAAGAGAAGAAGAGAGGGAACTGCTCTGTTAAAAGCTTACATGGATATAAGGGAGTTTTTCCTTCCCACTGTCGCCAAAACGCTTGTTCATATGGTCGGGGATTTCTCTGTTATCTCTGTATTATTGCAGGCTCTTGACCTTACTATACAAAGCACCTTGAGGCAACTGTTTTGTGAATTGAATTGAATATTGTGATGTGACGCTAATAGGTTTTAGGACCGCTAATAGGTTTTGCCGGTGACTATTATTCATTTTTAAAAAGTCTTGTTTTTCTTGTTTTCTGACAGTTTTTCATCCCTTTTGTCACATTTTGTATAAAGCAGATTTGTTTTATCTGTTTACTGATTTACTGTAAAAATATATAAAGTATCTTTATCCAGTTGTTGTAAAGCTGTCCGTCTTCTCTTTCAGTTTAGCTCTCACCAAACTCGACATACTTGACGTTTTCACCGAGATCAAAGTGGGCATAGGGTACAAAGTCGACAACCAAACTATACCTCACTTTCCAGGTGAGGAGAAATTTGAACATGTGAGCTATGTTAATGAATTTTGTTTTGCTTGGTAGTCTTAAACTGGATCTTGGTAGGTGGAGAATCTTCTGCCTTCATGGGAGATCATCGGGCAGCCTTTTCTCTTCTTCCAGTCTATTTGATCATTTACAGAGAGCTCCGTTTTCAGAGAGAACACATCGATCTGTTGCTGTTGCCCTTCGAGTGATTCCTACTGTCAAGTTAATGGTGTGATGCTGTTATTGATTTGTGCCAGCCAATCAGGAGGTGCTGCAGCGTGTGGAGGTTCAGTACGAGACCCTGCCCGGCTGGGACAGCGACACTTCGGCCGCTAGAAGCTTCGAGGAGCTGCCCGAGAACGCACAGAAATACGTTCGCTTCATTGAGGAGCATGTGGGAGTGCCTGGTAAGAAGTCACGCATGGAAGTGCAAGAATTGATGAGCAGCTTTTTAAATTGATAGATTTTCAGTATTTCCCCTAAGATGATTGCTTCTTCTGCTTCTCACCTCATCAGTCAAATGGATCGGAGTAGGGAAGTCCCGGGAGTCCATGATCCAGCTCTTCTAGACAAATGGAAAGAAACACAGCCTACCTACCTGTTTTAAACCTCCAAACAAAGACGCCACCGTCATCAGACTGTGCCGGACTGGACTTCTCCAGTCTGTTTGGATTTTTAACAGTTTTAAACTTTATTAAAACAGCATCACAAGGCGCTCTGCTAACATTGCAGCGTTTTGTTTCATATACAACACACTGGGCAACGCCAGCTGCCATCAGGTGAGGGCGTGAAGGAACGGCCACGAGACACGCAGGCACCGGATCGCTCGTTTGGTTGAACACATTGTTTGACTGTATTTTGGTTGATCTATGCTGTGATTTTAACGCGCTGTGTTTTCCCCCTCAGCACTTTAGATGCTTTGGACTGTATGTGCTTTATGTTTTATTCTTCCAGGTGTACGGCGCATCCTCACACGATAAAGGGATCGGTTTATATTTTAAATGTGTCTTTCTGTGTTCTCAGTGTTAAAACTTGCCTTGTCATTCAACTCCAAAAAAACAAAAACAAAAAAAAACTAGCTTTTAAATTTTTTCCGTAGCTAGCGGTTGCTTCCACTGATCGCTGTGGGAACGCTCGAGTTTTAAGGATTAATCTCAGCAGGTGAGCTCTCCTCTAACCACTAACAGGCACAGAAATGTTAATGTAACTTAGATTTTCGAAGTAAACAAATCAAATTAGTCTGTCAGCACTTTTCCACGCCTCACATTCTTGTGATTAATGTTGTTTTGTCTTTGCACTGTCAGCACATTGTTCTGGTAACATGGGATGAAGGCAATGATTCGATGTATGCTGGTTTTTTTTTTTTTTTTGCCCAGTTTTCTGCAAGACTGTAATTCCACAGTCTTGATTTAGAGTACTGCATTGAATCCCCACCTTAGTGGATGACGACATTGTTTGCATTTACAGTTCTGTGCAATGAAGACATTTTGTGTGTTGGATCAAAAGGTGATCATGAGAAGAGACACAAAAAAGTTTCAGCTTTTATTCAGTATACATTAAATAAACTTTAGATTTCCTGTTTCTTCACTGGTCATGCCTTTACAGGATTTTACTGCACCATCATGTAGTTGTCAGATTTGTTGGGGTTTTTAAGTGCATGGTCATTATGTATCCTGCTGAAGTCCTTTGTTGAGGTGGTGGTGTGCTTTGGATTATTATCTTGCCACATAATAAAGATCCTCCTGATTATTTTGGATGAATTTCTTTGTAAATTGTCAGAGTATGTTTTTGGAGACTTCTTCATTCATTTTGCTACTGCAGTCATGATCAATGAAAGCGACGGAGCCCAAGCCATGACAGCACCTCCACCGTGCTTTATAAATGAGCTTGTATGTTTAGGATCATGAGCAGATCCATGCTTTTCTGCAGACACTGGTCTTTCCATCTATATGGTAGTAGTTAAGCTTTGTCCCATCAGGCCATAAAGCTGTTCCCTAACTGATGGAGCTCATATCTGTACAGTTTTGTAAATTGCAATCCTGTTTTTTTGATTTTTGCTGCTGGTGAGTGGTTGGCATCTTGCAGTGTGGCCTCTGCATTGCTGTTCTCAAAGTCTCATTAGTGTTTTGGGGGTTTCCTTGCTGCTTTCACCATTTGTGTTTTATCAGCTCTTGTTTTTTGTTTTGTTTTGTTTTTTAGCTTGGAGAGCCATTTAGATGCCTGTTGCTCTGTACATCATTTCTTTTTCAGGACAATCCAGATACTTTTACTGGCTTTGCTCAGCTTCTTTCCAGTTTCTCAGCTTCAGAATAACATGCTTTTCTCACTGGTCTTCATGTTGGTCTACCCAGAGGTGAAAGCTTAAACTGAGAGGAGATATCCATGATTAAACAATGGACCTTGTGGAACATCACTGTACCACAAACTCACCCATGGTTAGCTGTGGGGGAAAAAAAACTACAACTTTAGAAAAAAGTGAAGAAAAATGCAGCTGTGAAATGAGTGTGAGCAACAGGAAACATGCTGTATGAATGTGTGAGCAGTTTAAACATTTTGGTCAGTCCAGCTCAAAAACATCTGTGCCTATTTGAAGTATGGAAGAAAAGCTGCGACTGTGTAAGTTTAGAGACTTAAGTGTCACAGAATCTGAGCAAGCTTCACCATTAAATTCATGTTTAAATATGTACAAATTCATGTTTAAATATGTACAAACCCAGTGGTGTTTAAAATTCTCAGTAAAGAGTGAATATAAAATTAGATTTGAACGTGGGCTTACTATCTGTGCAAACTTGCACAAGGGGAGTCGAGGAATCTATGTTGGGCTACTGATGTAAGATATCACTGACATCCGCACACAGAGGTTGGTTTGATCTTCCTAGAATTGTGACGACATTTTCTGGAGAATTAATTGATCAGTGTGCTGCGATTTTGTAAAAGTTAAACTTAACCTGCTCCTGGTTATAGAGTCTAACCCAGCTGTCATGACGCAAGAGGCAGGATGCAGCCTGGACAAGTCGCCAGTCCATCACAGTCAATACTTGGAGACAGACAGCCGCTCACACTCACATTCATACATATGATCAATTTAGAATCACCCATTAGCCTAACCCCATGCATGCCTTTGGACTACAGAGAACCCAAATGGACGGTGTGAGGCCCAGACTGTGCCGCTCATCTAGATGTAACTACCAGGAAATAAAAGCTGAAACTCTGATCTCTCTTCTCATGTTCATCATTCAATCTCACACACAAATGTCTTCAGTGCACAGCAAAAACAAGTTAATGCTGTATGCTTTTAAACTTGTGTGTCTCCACTGATCAAGAGGGAAACTGGGCTGCTCTTGTTGGACTTGGAGCTAATAATGAACAACATTTCTTTTACTGAGACAAAACTGAGTCGGCGTGCATACAATGAATGTCAGAGCAATGAAAATCTGAAAAATGGTATACGTGCCCACACAGTACTAGCAAGCTGGGTACAACTGCAACAGTTTCTGAAAGGTATTATCTCTGTGCTATTTAATATACTGTGTCTACATGGCGTATTATTACTTACGATAGCTTCGTGTGGTTACATATTTGGGAATGTTCACGTTCTGCCATGAGTTGGATTTAATACAGTACTGTAAATGATGCAGAAACAGCTCTGATTTTGTTTGTAAACCTACATTTGAACACTAATGTTTCTTTTTCAAAGGTGTTGTTAAAGAAAACAGTCCAGCATGAACTGATACAGTGACTTCAATGGGTCTTCTTTTAAACTGAATAAAAAAATAAAATAAAGGGGTCTGTAAATTAAAAAAACAACAACTATATAGTTTGTCTACAAGGTGATTTGGCTTTTGAGGCAAAAAAGGGTGAATGAAACCAGAATCTGGATCTGGCAACCAGACCTCAGAGGAGATGTGAGGTCACAGCAGGAAAAATGGTAACGTGTCTAATCCTGCGTTCATATTTCTTACTCCAACGTGGGCGTGCTCACAGACCGATGCAGCAAGGCCGCCACGACAGCTGCTTTAGTAGCCGCATTGTTTGAATTGCGTTAATCAGGTGGAGATTCCACGTATGGGTATAAATGAACAGTTTAGATCGGTTTGCTTTGTGCCATCATCAGAGTGTATTTAATATCATCTGCAGCTATTCTGTCGAAGGTTTAAAGGAAGCAGCTGATGCAACATTTTCCCACTTGGTTCAAATGTTGCAGCATGAACATGGTGGTAGTCTTCCACTTTGTTGTGTAAATCGGCTTTATTTATTGTTTGATCTCATCTTAAGATGTCTGGATTTGAATGTTGAAAGAGTTTTCATGTTACTAAGTAAAGCTCTTCCATAACGTTGTGGCTCAGACATACTTTTAAAACAAGTGTGACACCTCGTACCTCCCTCCACATCGTGTGTGAATCGAGTCTCTGGATGTAAAAATATTTCAGGACACTGGGATAATATTTTCTGGAAAACATGATGACGTTGTGTGGCAGTACTTCATGTTTCAGTTTGTATGCATATGTGATGATATGATGAGAAATGTTCAATCTTCCTTAATCTCGCAATAGCCAAAAACAAAAACCCCAAATACTAAGAGTTCTTGGATCCAGATCTGGACCTACTGCAGAAGTTAATCACTTTTAATATTTTGAGCAATCCTGCTAACAAACTGAACCCATTGCATAACCTTCTTGGCAATCACAGGAAAAAAGAGAAAGCAGAGGTCTGAATTATCCCCAATTTTTATCCTAATGAGGTGTCGATCATGGAAGGATGGTGCAGACGGAGTTTAATCATTTTCGCAGCAGCAGCAGCTTTAAAGCTGAGCTGTTTTAAAGCTTCCAGGGTTGAGTTTTGATGTTATTTACAAGCTGGACGAGGTGCTTCGACTTGAATGAATCGACTTGACATGAATGTAGCATTTAATCAGACCTCAGAAAGCTCACAGAGCAAATAACGCCTGTGTTTACAGGCTACACATGACATGTAAACAAAACTTTAGGAGTACAATTCAGTTGAATCTTCCTTTAATGAGCTGCAGGCGGCTGCTCTGATCCAAGGTGAACGTTGGAAATTTCACACAGACAAATAAAATTTACCATCACGAAGAATACTCTGTGCTCTGTATTTTTAAAACCACCTTTTTCCAAAGCAAAATAATTAAACTGGTGATGGAAGTTATATGATACTGTATATGATCTGCCTCTCATCTGGTGTCCTAAACATCGCACTTATACAGTGAGGACATAAAAAAAAAAAAAAAAAGAAATTGTATTTTTTGTGTTTCTGTTGTTTGTGACTCACTCAACGAAAGTTGGTTTTTCCTCATATACTCTTATAAGCAGAAAAATGGTGTTTTCTGATTTCCTGATTGTCTTCTGCTTCTGTCTGTCCACAGCAGATGTTGGCACGTTTGCTCTCATGAACTCTCTGAGCCTTTATTTCCTTTTTCTTAACAGCAGCTCTGACTTTTTTTTTCTTCCAGCTGCTGTTTCGAGCGAACTTTTATCCCTTTACTTGTCCAAACTGCCTGAATCATAAACAGACTAAATGGCTGCATGCGCACAATGTTCACACGAAACCTTACCATGTTACACTGCCTCTTTTTGTCCTTAACACTTTTAAACACAGTTTTCCTTTTCAGGTTATAAAAAAAGTCTCCACATCTTGATATTCCTCCTGTACTGCTCGTGTATTTTGTGACTTTGGGATCTTGACTGGAATTTCAAATAAAGTTCTTCGGGTTTAAACAACATTTCGCTGCAGAGTATTTCTTCAGATCTGAGGAATGTCTGGCATCGATGAAAACCAGATTTTATCAGACCTCTTCGTCAGTGTGATCTTATAAACTTTAAATCTTGAAGTTTTGCTTTTAACCTTGATGGACTCTTGCATGCTTATAAGACACCTTGGCCTGGAAACTTTCCTTAATTTTGATTGCTGTCAGGTGAATTTCTTTGGGGGGGGCTGATGTGGGGATACATCTCTTGTATTTTTTGTGTTATGTTTGTATCACTTTACTTTGTGTGTGTGTGTGTGTGTGTGTGTGTGTGTGTGTGTGTGTGTGTGTGTGTGTGTGTGTGTGTGTGTGTGTACATGTTTACATATCCTCGTGGGGACCAAACATTGGAAGATTACTTGTGGGGACCAACAGCCCTTATGGGGACAAAGTCCCCGTTCCCATGAGTTTGAATTTTTAAGACTCAAAACATAGTTTTAGTGTCAGGATTACAATTAGCTTAGATACAGTTATCACAGTGTTTCCAATTATCAAGAACTGGAGTGACAAATTCAAAGAAGACACTCTGTACAGAAACAACATTGGGAGAGGTAGAAAGTGAAAGATTTCAAAGACTCTGGACAGAAAACTAGGGAGAGATTTGTCTAAAGACCCCAAAACAACTGAAAAGATATTCGTTAATGGTTTTGCCAACTCAAGAATGTAGTCTCAAAAAGGCAACAGGAGTGGACTGTGAGGTTGCAGATCAGTAAAACCTTCACACCTTGAAGTAGGACAACCTGGACAAAACTCATGTACTGGAACGTATTGGAAGCACGTTCTTAGTTAGGTGAGGTGAAATTACAGTTCTTTGGATACAGAGATGCTGCTTATGCTTCGAGAACAAAGAACACCATCCCCACATTTAAACACGGTGGTTGGAGTATTTTGAGAACTGAAGACCGAGGTCCACCCTAGAAGACTATTGATTAAGAGAGATTTGCCAAAGAAGAATGGGATTGCTCAGTAGATGTGTGCGAGACTTCTACAAACATT